TCTGGGTGATTGATTTGCGACCAGGCCTGCATATGAATTCGCCAAGGTTGTAAGCCAGTGAGCCCGTGCATTTTTGTTAAGCGGTCATATTTGAAAATGTAAATAAAGGAAAGGGAAAACCCGCAGCTCTCCTTTCACTCAGACAAACAGTACAGGTCGTGTTAAATTTATTTACATAACTAAACAAAATGATTATAGAATTAAACCATTAGGAATTGAATGCTCATATGAAACATTTTCCACCTTAAATGCACACGTGTTTTTCAGATGGGAATTTAGTCGAACTTTTTTCACGATGGAATTTTGTTTTGAGTCGTTTCGACATAAACAGTCGCTATCAAGACATTACACGAAATACCCCAGTCACCGTTCTAGCTCTCGTTGTAAGGTCAAAGCTAGTAAATGTGTAACCGACCTGTTACATAACGTCAACCCGTTGTATCGTCGAGCATGCTTGCGGCTTATTGCCGAAAATGCGACAAAGTATGAACTACGACTCACAGTTGTTTGTACCAAAAATAACAAACGCTTTAACTCTATTGGGATACGTGAAGCTAAGCTGCTCTAGCTCTTTCAGTGATGTTGTATATACCTCAAAGCTTAAAGGAAACAAGAGCTAAGAAAAAGGATTCGCAATGGTTCCTCCTAAGATACTCTGGACTTGAACGTCGCTTCAACGACCTTCTGAAGTCTTCGTGAAGTCGGCCATTGYTTCGCATGYAATGGAGAACCCGCGKAGAACACAGACCAATTATTTTTATCAGGGAGGGGAGTCTTTTGGTATTAAAGAAATAATTATTTGTTATTTCATTTTTAAGATAAAATTATATTTCTATAACGATAAATATTTGATTGACATTTAATAAGAGCTGTTTTATAAAGATTTTAATTTCTCTTTGCGTTTTAGCTTTGATTTTTTTTCGGATAGAATAAAATGGCAGCCAGCCTACTCCACTGGGTCGAGTTTTGCTGTGCAAATTCCTCCCGTCGGGGGGTTATGTTTACAACATAAGCTTGTCAGCTTTGTGCTGATTGGCTAGTCGCATTTTCTCAAATCACCCAGTTCATTTATCGAACTGAAAATAATAGAATTCAAGATGGCGGCGTATTTGCCCTAATAATAAGCCAAGGAAATGGAATATAATTAAAGATTGTAATTTTATCACAACTATAAACAATATCTGACTGATAGAGAACCATGATAATTAAAGTATAGTACAAACCACGATAGCAAGATTTTTTTTTCTAGGATTGTAAGGCTAAGTGTAGAATATTTTCTGTGTTAAAAAAAAACAGACAAAACAAAAACAACAACAGAAACAGCAAAATTTTGATAGTTTCTCGTTGCATGTCCTCTTATTAACCACGGTTAGCGCCATCTGATTGTCAAAGTTTTTACGTACCCAGTAAATTTGTCAAATTTAAGCCAATATAATTTGGAATATTTTCTCTGAAAAAGGTATTAACACCTGCTTTATTGCACAATTCATAACATATAGAAAGCACCATGATAAGACAGGTTGTGATTATTTGATGTGGAAATTTCGAGTGCAAAATTAAATTTTAATTGAATGTGATTTGAAAATATATTTAAGTAACCTCGGGATTAACACTAAAACAGGTGCTTTTAATTGTAGAACATATTGTGCTAAAAATATATATTAACACTTTTAAAACTAAACTGAATGCTCATAATATATATAGATGGGTCAAGCCATTGACACCTCTTTCAAATCATTTCCTTAATGGTAATCCTGAGCTTTGTCTAAAATTTGACTGATTACATCACAATCGTGTGGGTGACGACGACAAAACTTCAAGTACATGTAGTGTCTTAATAATACACAGCACGAATTCAAACTATGAAAAAATAATGAGTTTTGAATGAATTTTAGAGACTTAAGGTAGATATCAATACACATTACTAGTCATAAAAATATATGAAGATGTTTTTTGCGTTAGGGATTTTAGTTTCATGTTTTCTCAAGGAATTCATGTGTGCCAACCCTGAAAATGTACAGAGCAGTTCGTCATTCCAAAGACATCTTAAATTTGCGAACTTTTTGAGTTCCATAACAGGTATCTGAATCTCACGCCTTTTAAAACTCTTGAAGTTAAGACGTACAAAGTTTGCCTTGTTGATTGTACTGAAGATGAAAGATGCATTTCTTTAAATTTTGCGAAACGTATCAGTCCTAGTGGGCTTCATTTGTGTGAAATGCTTGATACAGACGTGTTTATGAGTGCACGATTCAACTGGACAACTTTCAACGAAACCGCAGACTTTCAACACTTTACAAAACATGTAAGTACTATAAACGAAACCTTTGAGTTTTATTTTGTTTTAGATGACAAAATTTAGTATGAGATCAAATAAATGACACTGCAAAACTGAATGGGAAAATTTGTTCTAAGTATTGATGCATTTCTATAAGTAATAAACAGGTTTTTGACATATACTGAATTTATTTTTTTTACGCACAAAATTAATGCAAAATTTCATAATATTTAGACGCTAAAGAATTGTCCATGGAGAATTTGAAATTCTCCAGCTGCGCGTACTTGATTTTGAAATCATTATAAAAGGCTTTGCCAACAAATTAGCATATATTGAATAAATACAGGATATTACATGGGCGCGCGGAGATACGGATTTTATCTTCGAGTGCTGATTGAAGATCTCTCAAGAGTGAGCATGGCGACGAGAAGATAAAATTCATATCTCCAAGTGATCATGTAGTATTCTGTTTATCATATAATTATATGAAAACAAATTATGTCGTAAAATACCTTTTTTCTTATTTCCAATTTATAATGAAACCTCGAATGTGTTATTTTCAATAGTGAAATAACAACTTTTGCCTACAACTGTCGGATGCAACAAGCCTAAGTCATCCTTACAACATCCTTACAACTGTCGTAGAGATAAAAAAAAATGTTCGATAACCCTACTACAGTTGTAGCCATGTTTTAAGGATGACTTAGGCATGTTGCATGTTGTAGGCAAAAGTTGCACTATCAATGTATCAATGGTTGAAAAGGTCAATAGACGAAACATGTTTCATTGAAAGTCTTGGTTTCAGTGAGTCAAAAGAGATTGTTTATAAAACAATCTCACGTGTACCATGAAGGTTACAAACTCTTTAATGATAAAATTTATATATATGATATCAAAGAGGCAAGATTTTGCTGTAACTCCGAGTTTCGTGCTACGCACTCATCAGACAGTATTATACTGTCTGATGAGTGCGTAGCACGAAACTCGGAGCAGCAAAATCTTGACTCTTTGATATCATATATATATATAACTAGCTCTACACTTTATGTGTATTGAGTACTCTTTAATGGGATCAGCTACTTCCTCATACGATTAATGATTAAATTTAAGACGATTTCTAGGAACCTTTTCGAAAGATAGATTGAATTAAGTAATAAAACGATATACTGTCCCGTGGAAAACAACGCCGTCAATTTACTTGGATCAGCAGAGACAGAAGTGCCGAAGGAATCTAGAGCACAAACTATCTACAGTGTTGATATACACCTGATTTGTGCATCCCTCCTGGGACCTTCTATCTTTTAAATCTTCTCCTAATTCGTGACACTGCACCCTGTGATAAAAATACAATATCAACTTCACTGTGTGATTGTATTTTCCATATATTTAGGTTCTTGTGTAAGAGCTATGTGATAGACACTGTACTTTTGATTTTAGACGCACTGTTTGTCCTCTCCATGCAAGAAGGAGGAACTATGTCTTCCAGACTATGATGCAAACAACCACACATGTAAAGCGTGTAAAGAACTCGGAGGCAAGTGAAATAGCATTATAGTATTTTTTTACATTGGCTCTCAAAATTTATTATTACTGTGATTTATTTATTCCAATTGCCGTTTGGTATTTTGACTTCCACCAACCAACCAACAATAGTCAAACACCTTCTGAAAGTCTTCCCAGAAAACCGAAATGAACTCCGAACATTTTTTTAATTCGGAAATCATTCGGACTCCCTTTATTGGGCTTTTGACTGGACTAGCTCCCCGAGTTTATTTAAGGAGTTTCCTCAAAAATCAGTTGGGCGAAATTTGAGGTTTCAGTGACAGGAGCAAAAATTCCCCCATGACACGGAATCCAGATTCCTGATTTTTCAGATTCCGTTAGAAAATGTCGCAAGGATTTTGTACCCCACCATAAAGATTCATAATGCAAGACATCCTAGCTTTTTGTTTTGTTGTCAGCTACTTGGTTCAATTGGAAATCATATAGAAGAAATCATTTGGGTCCAATTCCCCTTGCACGGATCGGATTCCATTTCCATTTGCGTGGTTTATCTGGAATCCAGAGCCAAAATTTTAATTTGTTGCATGGATTCAGGATTCCAAGCGACATTAACTAATCTGACCTTGATAATGGTGATGAGAGCTTACTAGATCAAGCTTGGAAGTTCATATAGTTAGAGAAAATGCACATTTGCCTCTTTAGTGCCAGAAGGTTTATCTGAATGGAGTGCGTGGTCAAAATGCGATAAGCTCTGTGTCACTGGTAAACAGCGAAGACAAAGAAACTGCAGCAACCCAAGAGCGACCTGCAATCGATGTGAAGTTTTATCTAAAACACGTGATGAGAAAGAATGCAATTTTTGCCCAGGTAGTTAAGAGCGTTTGTATGTATTTATTCCTTCTCGTAATTGCCAAAAACTCTTCGCTATTCTGGTCGAACTATGATACACAAAAGAACTGTATGTATACATCAAGCAATAACACTTTTCGCGTTAGAAAACAGGTTGCGACTTATTTCGACCGTTGACGGAGGCCGTTGAAGCAACCCTGCCTTGATTGCCATTTTTTGGCAAAAGAGGTGAATGTCAGAGAGATCCTAAAATGAAACAAAATTTAAATAAAGTGTTGTCTGCACAGAGCCGCCTAGCAATCCCCAAAATTATTCCTAATGTAACAATGCAGCCGTTAATAATGGCAACATTTGTTAATCTGCTCTTTTGCGTGTATGTGATCTTATTTGTGCTTTTAGAGCATGATTTATACAATTTCGTTATTTAAGAGAGAATGCTTCATCGAATTAATCTAGTAAGATGTAATTGATATTGATTTCATATTAGAAAGCCCTATCAGGACCTATGATAATTATTGCGTACAACCTAAGAGTGGTGACTGCAATCCTGTTCAAGATACAAGCACGTGGAGCCACTCCCTTATCATGAAACGAGCCGATGAGAGCTGTTCAGCGAAGCATTTGAATTTCATCTTCGATAGCGATGGCAGGATATATCATAAATGCAGTGGGAAGGTTGTTTGTCCACAAGGTACTTAAAATGTGATGTGAAAGGCTATATTCACCGGCAAGTTTAGAACTTTTGCGCTCATTTCATTGCTTTACAAATGATCTCTTGTTTTCCTATTGGTGCATTTTAAACGATAGCGAATTTTCGTATGTGAGAAAAAACGAGGGTTTGTTGAATTGCTTTTGTATGGTCAACCTCGATACTACATCTATTTCTCTTTATTTTGGGTGAAGGGAAAAATGGGTTTGCATATTTTCTTCTACTATAAATGTATGGACACTAAACTCATTGCAAATAATGCACACTACACTCCTGACGATTCTATTATTACTGATCATGTTCTTATCATTTGCACTGTCTTAGAGACATGTAAGATTCGACGTTTTTACCAATACTTTAGGAACACAACCATAGCTCATGCAATTTCATGAAATGAATTGTAACTTTTATATCTTGGGTGTCAAACATATAGAAATAGAAACTGTTGTAAGAATAAATTAAAAAAGAACTGAAACCTCTATGTGATTTTGAAATTATTGAGTTAAACAGTCACCTTTCTGTAATGTTCTGTATCCACCACTGGTAAGACTTTTCGTGGTTTAGAATTACTTCTGCATGTCGTTTTTTTAATCTACTGCGTTGAGATAATTCTTTCGATAAATAACACCACACTCTTAAAGAAAGTGAAGTCTTACCCCGCGAATTTCAGTGTGCTTGTGAATTAATAGCAGTAGGTAGGAGAAGCCGACGGGTTCCTGGGGAAAATATATCTGTTCTTATGTCCCAGCCAGCTGTAAGTGTAAACAACTGGTTGCCAGCGAGAAATTCAGGAAAAAAGAACTCTCCAGAAAAGGAATACTTTATAAAGAATTTTTGCCAGGAAAATCAAAATTTCCTAACTAAAAAAGTATAAGCTGTTTTTTCTATAAAAACTTTATATAAGCCTTGTTTGACCTTAAAAAGGTTTGGCAGGAGCAAAATTATTTTTAAAAAGGAAGTGCGCCACATTTGCTTGTGAGATTGTCAACAATGTAGCTTAAAAATCCCTTTCCCAGGAAAAAATTAGACAAGAACAGTTATTTAAAAGAACAGACCCCGTCGGCTCCTCCTGAGTAGGTGACGTATTGGTTTGTCAAACAATGTCCTTCTAATTGCTTTCAGGAAACGGTAGCCCTTGGAATGGTCAAAGACTTGTCTTGATGGATACATGTCCAGAAGACATTGTAAAGCACAAGAGGTAAATATTTTTACAATAGTCGATTCAGCATTAAAAAAAATAGTTTTTCTTAGTGGCGGGATTACTTAAGATGTGTACTGCGAGAAAGTCAAGTCTTTCCTTTTATAGAAATGAATTGATTAAGAAGCTGAAGAAAACGAATTGAGCTTTTCGAACATGAGTACAATTTCCTACTTGACATCATATTTGAATGTAAATCGTCTGAATTTGTGAAGTCATTCAAATGTATATCCGCTGGATGGACGCAAGCTCGAAAAGTCTCCAATTTCGACGATGAGTACGGATTTTTTCTTCCTCTTCTTTTAGTCTTCTATTCGGCAGCACACTGCATAAAATTTACATTGTAATTTTGTATATTGATTTACATAAACACTGCAATCAAAAAGTTGGAGCGTCTCAATGGAAAAATCCGTTTTAACAGTTGAAGGCTTTTAAGAGACACTTTTTACATGAGATAGGCTGCCCCTTAGTGGTAGGGCTATCTCTTGTTTTCTTTTCCCTGGAGGATTTAAAACAAATGATTTTGGCTCCTCTACTAGGGGCACCCAATCTCATGTAAACAGGGTCTAATAGTCATTTTTATATTATTCTAGACTTCCAAACCACGTACTTCAAAATACAAAGAACGATTTGTGTGTCCATCCCTATGGTGGCTGGCCGGGTGAGAACGTATATCTGAACTACTATGGCGGTTGCAGCGCTCAGCAATTAGCACTCAACTTTTTCAAACTTTGTAAGTTATTTTTTGTACTTATTCTGAGTTTTATCATTGGTTGGCAATGTTGTTTGTCTTTAGACTTGTGCATTCACATGGCGCTTTCCACATGGAACTTGCCTGTCGCCAGATTATCGGGCAGACCAGTCTGTTTGGTCTACTGGCTGAGAAGCCAACCACAGAGGAGCTGTTCGATCAGCTCCGCGATTGTTTTTAAAACTTTACCTTAGTCTTTTTTTTCATTTAAGTTTATTTTCATCCATGACCGGAATATCGAAATAAGTTGTTTGACGTCTGTTTTGGCAATAATGCTCCTATTGAACTGGATTGTTCATAGTTGTTGTTTGTTTTGTTAGTTGATTTCAGGGTCGCCTTTAACTGTGGTCGAATTCTTTTTCCATATATTTCTTATAATTTCAATCAATCGAAATAACGAAAATGGTTCTTTGGCGGCCGTATTGCATGGCAGTTGTTTTGCCTTTAGGCGGTTTCCTTAAGTTGACTTGTCGAGTACGTACCACAATTTTTGTACGTTGAATCCTCTGGTTTTATTGTTACATTCTCTTTGCTTTGAACAATTTTTCACTCTTACATTCATCATTTTGTCAAAAAACTTGTGGGCTCCTCTCTTTACACGTGAATTTTGTAATATATAGGATTATTTCCCTAAGGGATTTACATTGTCATACAAAATAATATAATTAAGTACTATTGGTTCAAAACAGCAGTAAAGGCTTGTTTAAACTGGCTTTTTTATTAGTTTTGTACTATATACAATATCTAGTCAGTAGAGTAATTGATAAAAATGATACTCATTGAAATCCCTTTTGTTTCAGCTCCTCCTTGAAGTGCACCAAATATGATATTTTCAAGTCCAAGTTGAACTATGTTGTAAAATTAATGATTACTGGATTAATTTTTGAATACAGCAAGCCCACATCCTATAGGAAATAGTCACAGGCATTTCAGTAGTCGCAGAGAATAATACGCAAGCTAGCAAATACCACTCTTCAATTTGTGTTGTTTGTCAAAAAACCTTTAATGAAACATTTACACTAAATGAAGAATTTTATGAACATTTTCATTTGAATCAAATGCAAACAATGTCATTCCAGAAAGACCTGTACAGGGTGTGTGCTGGGGTGGTTCAAGGGGTTACGGAAGGCGAAGTTTTTGAATCTTACAAATTAGTCACACATTTTCGGATACTACAGCAGTTTGTTCGGTGTGAATCCAAAACAATACTCGAACAATGCCGATGTCAATTGCAGTCTTAGAAAATTGTAAGTCGTCAAAGCTGGAATATATCTCCCTCATGAAACCCCTGCACAGGCCCACACATTTACAAGTAACGTTGGGGAAAATGTAGATAGCTATTCACAATAAAAACTACAACACAACGTATTGTCTGATGTTATAATATACGTGAAACAAACTTTAATTATTAAAGTTTGTAGTCAAATGTAAACAAAAGCAATTACAGCGTACTAAGGAAATCAGTGTAATATCTATTTCACGGGCTTTTATAGTTCACTCTAGAGCAAAAAATCAGCGCTAGCAATTAAAATGAAAATAAAAAAAATTATTTAAATAATTAAATAATTATACGAAAGCAAACGCTAAAAGCTCGAAAAAGTACCAACAAAATATTGCTAACTACCGCAATATAGTGTAGATTAGTCTACATTAACGAAACAATTTTTAATTACTAAAGTTAGATATGATAAATGAATACAAAGGCATCCACATATTAATTGCTAAAGTTGCTATAGTTTTAGTGTTTGCACTCACGCAATTTTAATTGTTTAAAAACACTTAAACACTTAAACCGTGAAACAAATATATATGCTCAATTAAACYAAGTTCTTTATTTTATACTCTTGTCTAATCGACAGCAGTGGATGCATCCAATCCGTGAATAAATATTATAGTAATCACAACTAAATAGTGTCACCAACAAAACTACTCTAGAAACAACGTAATGTGACCTATTTGAATCTCAAGTTCAAAATATTTACTTTTTTCAGAGTAAAACTATTTTAGTAACTGTTTAATTGAAACATGTTATCTTAAATTGAGAACGACATCATCGCCAATCAAAAAGAAAGGAGCCCAGTACATGGGATCCCTGTGGCCTTCTTTTCTAATGTCATGCATGGCTTTATGAAGACTTACACTCGCACTTTMACCTCGAGTCAGATAACTGTAAAAACTCACCATGAAACTAAAAGTTACACTGTCGTCGATTGCCCACAATGACGCTACGACAGAACGAGCTCCAGCCGCAAGAAAAGCACGACTAAGTCCAACCATACCCTCAGCCCTGATCTCACCACGGCCACTGTAACAACAACTTAGGACCACAAGTTGAGCTTTGATTCCTATTTGTTGAACTTCTTTCATCGTCAACAGGTAGTCATCTTCTTCGGGGATTTCTCTTTCTGACGAGACATTTGGTGCCAGCATTATTTCACCATTATCAGAGCTCCCGTGTGCAGCAATGTGAATCACAGCTGAGCCTTCTTTCAACTTTTCTAAAACCGCATCTTTGGTAGCTTGTTCGCCGGTCAGTTTGGTCGACTGTCTAAGCATACCAGAAAGAAAGGTGACTTCTCTGTTCGCTGAAGGTAAACGTTCAAATACTCGTTTTTTGCCTCTAAACTTGACTTCTCCAACACTTGGATCTCCTACAATAAACGCTCCTTTTTGGCTGTGATGATCCACTGGACATTCATTTAGAGCCTTCAATATTGCTATTGATGGCGCAAGGCGAATGCGTTTGGTGTCTGACAGATACTGTCCTGTATTGGGATCCCTGAGGGCAGCAAACGGTACTCTATACATTGGTCCATCGGGTACTATGACAATCTCGTCGTGTTTTACGTCTGATAGGACAGGAGCAACTAAACAATTATACAGCGTTTCAATTGGGAGTGACTCTTGATCGAGTTTCTCTTCACTTGCGCCATCATCACGTGACTGAGATTTAGAAGCTTTTGTAGTGACGTGATCTTTCGATGTAACGCAATCATCAAGTGATCTGTTTTCACAAGTGACGCTTTCTTTGATTTTCATCATTTCATATGCTCTTGTAATAGTGTCAGTAAAGAAACGAGTCATGGAGTTTTCATCGTTTCCTTTCTCTTCTGGATTCAATGCTTCTATGGCAGAATCAAAGTCTTGCCTTTCTGATTGCTTCAACACTATCGAATCTTTGGCTAAAATCCACACAGCCAAACGTTTGGTGAAAAGGTTGTAATGTAGCATCGTAAAGGTATCATTCAACAAAACTGCTTTAACATCAGAATACGTTAGTGGATTAGGGGATGAATATTCTTGTCGAATCATTCCATATTTGAAGATCAAGCGATCTCCTAAAGCACGTGCTCGTCCACCATCAGATACTAACAGAGCCTCTTGTACTTTGTCTGTCTCAATGAGCACGGTGGTGAGTAGCTTGTAATCTTCAGTGAAATCATCAAATATTGAGACTTTTAAATGATCACGCTGATAGAGATGTTGAAACAAAAAGTCGAAACAATCAAGTGCCTTCCTCAAGTATTGTTCTGATTTAACTATATTATCATCAGTATTATTGCATGCTTGATGTCCTTGGTTCCTTTTGTGTAAAGAATGGTATATTTCACCTAAAGCAGAACACGCTTTACCCTCAAGTTCTTTTTTGCCGATAGTGTTAGCAATGACCAGGCACTTCTCATACAAGTCAATTGCCTGTTTAATACCACTCATTTGGACATAGATATCAGCAATATTGAAATAGACAAGTGCTTCATTATTCTTGTCTTTCATTTCCATAGCAAGTCTAAGACTCTGATTGTATTCCTCAATTGCCTCGTTGTGTCGGTTTAGTTTCTTTAAGCAATTTCCAACGTTAATACTGGCTGTTGCCTTAGCTAGTTTATCGTCAATCTGTACAGCAATATCCAAGCATTTTCTATAATTTAAAATCGCTTCTTCATAGCTGCTGCGATTAAGCATAATATTTCCAAGACTACAATAACATCTTACTTGAATTCCTTTATGATTGATCTCTTTGCTTATGGTTAGGCTTTTCTGGTACAACTCAATGGCCTTATCAAAGTCATTTAACGTTCTGTAAACATTTCCCAAGTGATGCAAATTGGCTGCCTCCAATTTTCTGTTTCCTAGTTTAACATTTACCTTGAGACTCTCCTCGGCGAAACGAATTGAATCATGGTACTTCCCTTGCATACGATATGATTCTGCCAGATCTCCATAACAAGCCCCTAAGTGTTGTTCATAATTCAGTTCTCTGAACAAATCAATAGCTTTTTTAAGACACTTAATGCTGTTTTGATAGTCACACAGGGAACTATATGCATTTCCAAGACCATTATAGGATGTTGCTATGCTTAGAGAGTCACCAGTTTTTAATGCAGCAACAAAGCTTTGTTTGTTGTACTTCATACTCTTTTCATAATCTCCCATTCTCATAAAAGCACTCCCAATGCCATGGGAAATCTCATACTCTAGGTGCTTGTCACCAGTCTCTTGCACTATTTCCAGTCCCTTTTGATAATAATCAACAGCTTTGGGATAGTTTTCTATGTTCTGATTATAAATATCAGCAAGTAGCAAAAGAGTGACAGATTCTTCCTTTTTAGACCCATTCTTTTTTGCAATCTCAAGGGCCGCTTTAGAGTATCGTATTGCATCTCCAGTCTCATCAGCTTGCCGTTTTGATTCAGCAGCAAGACAAATTAATGTAAGCCATTCCATTACGTCTTGAATAAAAGTAGATGGGATTCCTGTGTTTTCAAAATGACGAATTACGCTTAAAATCGTTTATATGAATGAATAAATTGACTAAAGTTAACTAAACTGAAAATAAACAAACTGAAATTAGAGGTAGAAATGATCGAATCGTCCTGATGGATGCATCAGCGCCGATCGACGATTTCGACGATTTAAGCATGTAGTTCGATGTTTCAATCATAACTAAAGCCTTCTGGAGAACGCTAAGTTGTTTGTTTTTTGGAGCATCAATGACACGAAATGCAAAATATCGTCTTACTTTCGCGTCCTGTGGTTTAATAGTTCATGGTTCGTCGTTCACACACGATGCAGCAGGGTCCTTGTTCGACGCAGGATCGAGTTATCTGTTACTTGTAGTAAACTTTATTCTACCAAGCACAGCCTATTTAAAGTTGATTTTATAGCATTTTTGACTGCAAAAAATTCTTGGCAATCCAATAACTATCACTCGAGGTTTCCGAAATAGTTTCCTGAAATTTAATACCGCTGTACATCAGTATCCGTTACGCTAGCCTAAACCTAGTCTCCTCTCGCAACCGTTAGGACGTTCGCTCCCAGGTCACTCCCCCCTAAAGCGTGGATTTCACTAGCGCATAAGCATAGCATAAGTACAAGGATGAGAATCACATGCCCCAGTGAGAACGGGCTCGACATAAGCATACTAAGGCATTGAGCATGCGCACAAGCGTATTATTTCGGTACCAGGCTATGCTTATGCCTATGCAGTCCCGTTCTCACTGAGCATAAGCATGAGATAAGCATGAGATAAACACAAGAAGATCAAGCCTTGCTCGTTTTTCTTGTGCTCATGCTTATGCTTATTTTGAGCCCGTTCTCACTGGCGCATATGACTCTCGTGCTTCGTGCTTATGTCTATGCTTATGCGCTAGTGAAATCCACGCTTATAACGGCTGCTTATCCAAGTTAAACATTCCGTTCCCTTTGTTTTGAACAGCCAATCAAAATTTGTGAAGTCTACCGGGTAAAATCTGTCAAAGTCCGTGTTTTGGTTTAGTTCGAACTCAAATTAAGTCAATGTTTGTGGAGCTATATAGATGCCACGCTAAAAAAAACATTGTCAGTAATTCATCTGGATGTCTTTTGTTTTTATCACTAGTCCGAGCGCCAAACAATTAACGAGTTCGAATTATTGTCAGATAAATTTAGGACCATTTAGTGTCGATTGTCAAGCAAGCCCAGTACTTTGTAATACACACTTAAAAACATTCAACAATTCGCTTAATTTTACTTTGAATTTGTGTCTAAACTGCTACAATATAAGCAAACGATCTACGAGTGCTTAAATCAGGGTCAGAATGGGGGGGTCCCAATATCAGTTAACAGCTAAATTTTGGCAATTTTCTCAGTTATCAGTTAAACTTCTCGGTTCTCAGTTAAGCTACATGTTAATTATTATTTTTGTGTAATAATTAACGACTAAATATTCAGTTATTAAGAAAGGTACGTTTTACCAGTGTTCTTTCAGGCTAAGAAAATTCCCCAAATGGTACTTCAGCTTTAATACTGAGATTTGAACACTGTAGTTAATATTGGAACTCTGATAACTCTCAAAGTGTACCTCCTCCCCTTTTCTATAGTAACAAACTAATACTTTCACCATTCATAACGATGATAGATGGCTTTGATCAAGTCAACTTTTTAAATGCATCAGCAGTTATATCTATGCCGTGACATGAAGTTGATATCACAGGTGATATCCAGACAGGGACCACGGAGCGGTTGATTATGTAGGGGCCTGGAGAGCGCCGAAGGCGAGTTTTTAGGGGGATACGGGGGCATTCCCCCCGGAAAATTTTGGAATTTTAATCCACGCAAATGCGATTTCCAGAATTTTGAGAGCATCCAGAAGAAATATGATGCATTAATTTTATGGAAATTTTGCGTAACTTAACAATGAAAAAAAGGCATTTCTGATCGTGACAATTCAAATTAAATAATAGATCTATTTAGTATTGCTGAATCTTGTTTGGGGGGGCTAGCGGCGAGGAGGTACTAGGGCTAAGGGGGGTCGGAAATTTCTGAAATTTTAACTCTCGGAAATGCCATTTCCAGCGTTTTGAGGCGTTATCCAAGACATATTTACCGCAGACACGGTAAGCAATATTACACCTTTTGCTGTTCATTAGCGTAAAACGTACACTCATTTGTGCCAAGCAATGCTTCAATAACTTGTATTGACTTTCTTGAACACCGTAAGCAACATCATTAGCG